GGGCTTCTTGCGGCACGTGCTTGGGGATGGGCTTGTCGTCGTTGAGGGCGACCAGCACAAGTTCCTGCGCAAGCACTCGCTGCCGGCGTTCAGCTTCCGGCACATCAAGGACCTGTACCCGATGATCTGGAACAAGGCGCTCCTCCTGACCCAGGCCCTGCGAACGGACGCCGCTGAGGCGAGCGCCAGCGGGTACTCGCTAGCCACCAACACAGGCAAGCAGGATGTCCCGCCGTGGGCACACCCGGGCACTGTCGAGCTCAATACGTGGGCGAGCAGGGTGACGCTCGACATCATCGGCGTCGCAGGCCTAGGCCGCGAGTTCAACATGCTCAAGCGCAACGCCGACCCACTGATGGCCGTCTTCGAGGAGCTGCTGGAGCCGACCAAGGAGAAACTCGCGTTCTTCCTCGCCTCGGCCATTCTGGGAGAGACGGCCGTCCGGTTCGTGCCCTGGAAGATGAACCAGGTCTTCAAGCGGCTCACAACTTCGCTGTCCAACTTGTGCCGGCCGATGATGCAGGACAAGCGCGAAGCGATTGTCAAGAATGGCGACGACCACTTTGACGTCCTTTCGCTGCTCATCAAGTCGGAGAACTTTTCAGACAAGGAGCTGACTGATCAGCTGCTGACATATCTTGCCGCTGGGTAGGTTACATCTTCCTCCTCTCCATTATATCTTTGCCGCCCCTTGCGTGACAAACGTGACGCTGACCATGATTTCCTGGTGCCACACAGCCACGAAACAACCTCATCAGCATTCAGCTGGGTGTGCTACCTCCTCTCCAAGCACCAGGACATCCAGGCCGCCGTGAGAAAGGAAGTTCAGGACGCGTTCCCACAGGGCTGCAGCAGCGCGGACCCCGCGACCACCGACATCGCGGGCATCCTCGAGTCCTTGCCTCTACTCAACGGCATCATCAATGAGACGCTGCGCCTGTACCCGACGGTGCCCATTTCGATGCGCCAGGCCGTTCGCGACACCGTTGTCGCGGACCAGCCTATCCCCAAGGGCGCCCGGATCCTGCTCGTGCCCTGGGCCGTCAACCGGTCCCCGCTCATCTGGGGCGACGACGCCACAGAATTCCGCCCGCAGCGGTGGATCAACACTGACGGCGACGGCAAGCCCAATATGCATGGCGGCGCGGGCAGCAACTACCACTTCCTCACCTTCCTGCACGGCCCACGGAGCTGCATCGGCCAGGGCTTCGCCAGGGCCGAGCTCCGGTGTCTGCTAGCGACTGTAGTCGGCGCGTTTGACTGGACGTTGGGCATGGACGAGGACAAGGTGGTTGCTGGTGGCGTCATCACCATCAAGCCAGCGAATGGGATGTATGTGAAGCTGCGGCCGCTCGAGTAGAATCAGTATAATTTGCAGTTTCAGGTACTGGAGGGAGGACGCGACCTCTATACTGGCTTGTATTACTGGACTTCTGTAGATTCATCTAGTCATCTATCTACGTAATCTGCCTTTGGTGGTGCCATGCATGAACAAGCTAGATGCAACAACTGTACCCATGCTTGGCAAGAATAAGACTTTATTGTTGTGTCGACCCTGGTAAAAGAGATTGGAGCTCAGTTGACTATCAGGCGATCCCGAGAGGTTGCAAATTAGATGAGTAGAAACTTCATATAACTGATGGCTCGTGCCGTTGTGCGTGATTTGTGTGCTGCATGACCTGTGGCCGCATTACTTGTGACCCCCTGATTGTGACCCTCTCATGCATAAATTCATGCTCCTTGCAATGGAATGCCCAGTTAGCCTTCCCCGATCGGGCGTATTCGCTTGCGAACAAAGCGACCGCAACGAAAATGACCTAAATACATGCATCTTCTCATAGAAAAGTCTTCTAATCGCGCTTGTCATTTAGATAGATTCGGTATCCAAAATGAACTGCAGGTGACAGAGTGACCCTAGGTATACCCAACAGCTGGTATCATCGAAGAAGTATGTCTTGTGTCGGCAGTCCAGCGAGCCATAACCTGAACTCGATCCTGCTTTCTGGGGCGAGCTTGAGTACACTCCAGCCCACGCGTTCAAACTCATCGCCAGTGTAGGTCGCAGGTACAGCGAGACGTGGTCTAGCGCGATCGCCAGACGAATACCGAATCGTGCCGTGTACTGCGAGCAGAAGGAACTGCACATGAAGAGTTGTCCCCACGTTGACCTCGCACACGGGAACGCAGAAAAGCTGTTCGTCCAGATAGCTATCGGCCGCCTCTGCAGCCAAGGCATTCTCAGCGTGCCCATAATTATCCTCGCTAAAGCGAAAGTTAAACCCGCCTGAAGTCGTAGAAATGATTGAAAAGTTAGGAGTGCTGTTCCACTGCGTTTCGATGCCACGCTTAGGAAGACCAATGACGACAGCAGAAAGATGACCGCGCAGGAGAGCCCACCCATCATGTACACGGCCGAAAACGTCGTCTCCGGAGTGTAGCAGACGGTAGTCTTGTACATCGGCTAGCAGGACGTATGCTGACCCTTTAGATATTCGATACCAGTGCACAGCCGTCTGAGCGCTGGCCCAGGACCAGGACGGCGCAATATACTCGCGTATCTGCTCCCTGACCCGATGCTCAGACCAGCACAGATCAAGCATGAAAGTGGACCGCCAAAGCCCGGCGCAATACGGGTCATATTCGCTGGAAGATCTCATTAATCTTTGAAAACGTTGGGCGATACCAGATATGGCGGGCAGTGCATCTGCGGCGTAGGTGAGCGTTGTCGCGCTGAAATACTCGATGAGTTCTTGCCACGGCATGTGCTTTCTTCGATCGCCACGATCTTGTTCTCCTGGGCGGACTAGTGATACCCTTGTGTGAGCTTTGTCGTATTGCAGGGTGCTATATGGCCAAGTCTCATGTGCTTCAAGCTGACTGCACTCCCAATGTACCTGATCCTCAGAGAAATGGACAATGCGGCTAGACAGAATCCGCTCCTGGAACACCCAGCCTCTGTCAGCTAGATACCCCAGCTTACATCCGGGTCTGAGCTCATGTCTGTCCTTGGCTGCCGCACTGCTGATCATGCAATGGGGCTCGTTGTCGTTTTCCTCTGCATAACCACCCAGTGCTGCCGCACTGGCATGCCGCACGACAACGGGCTGAATCAGCTCGGCTCGCCGAGTCCGAAAGAAGCCACTGTCCTCGTTCGCCGCACAGCTGGCAGAGATGGTTAAAATTGCATTCTGGTATACCTTGCCCATGCGGGCGGCTTCGTGGTTCCAGTCTTGAGATGAATCTTGGCGGATGCATAGGCGATCGACCCATAGCCAACGATGGCCAAGCATATGTACCACGGTACATGCGTCCTGGAGTGTCGGCGGGAGAAGTTCCAGTGGGAGTCCAGCTCGCAGCTGGCTATCCGTCTTTGTGCTCAGTATTAGTTGAACATCGGTCTTCTCGGCACCCCATCGATAGCTTAGAGCGAGGTACTTTTCCCACTGCGCCAGCAACGGAGTCGTGCTGTCTCTAGGGAAGTCGACGGCACCTGTAAGGAAATCATCTCTGTCGACAAGTCGGAAGCGCCCGAGAGCTGCCTCTACTAGTATGAGCCGGGTTGGGGTCTCGTCTGCGCACGTATGCATGAACATGCTATCGCAATACCCGAGATGCTCTTCGCCACACAGGCTCATCCAGTCTCGTATCTGGGCAAAAGTTTGCGACGAGAGGGAGCTGCCACTTATGCGTAGATTCGCTGGTGCTTTGCCTTTGCACCATGTGAGCTGATGTTAGCGCAATGTTTTGGGGGTTATGTATGCGCACAAGTCGCATACCTATATGGAGCCTGATCGACTCACACATATTCCTAGGCACTTCGCGCCGACTTTCCATCATGACACCCATCTGGAGATCCCACGCCTTGAAAACAGTCAATGTGAGGAGCCATCCGCCGCTTCGTGTGATGAGTGATGCCATCGTCTCGCCACGCAAGTCGAATTCCAGCATGGCGCTACCAAGATCGCTTTCCTCGAGGCGCGGCCTCCGTCTTCTAGACTCTCTGCGTTGGCAAAGACGTGATCGGATGCCACACCAGAAGAGCTCACAAAGCACACAAGGCCCGGCTGATTTTGGTGATGCTCGGGTCTGACAGCATTTTATCAATTCGAAGAAGCTGGTGTGGTGTGAGCGCCATCTACTGTGTGTTGCCACGGGGGGCCTGGCTCCTGGGTAAGACGCAGGACCATGTTTTTCAAACCAAGCGGCGCAGGGCTTGCAGAGGTTGTCCTGTAAAATGATCTGACTTTCACCCACAGCTAGTGAGATGTCCCGTACGATGTCTGTCGACTGTAACTCATCAAGGCCCGGCTCGCTGGCGCAAACATCATATTGGGGGGTTCTAGACCGCCTGGGCATCGGATCATACTCAGCAATGCTGTCTGGACTTGTTAACGCTGGAGTTGACTTGGCCAGGCCCAAGCTCATAGCACGAACACAGCGTGAGCGGTCCATGGCATTGGCCCATTCAGAGTTTTCAACGTCGATAGTCGGCAAGCCGTGAGCTTTTGCAAGGAGACGTAACGGCATACTGGTGCTTGGCTTTCTTTGAGTGAGGGGCACCGTGCTGACGTGGCTACTTGGCAAATCTCGCTGCATGACACTTATGCCGAATATGGACAATACAACAAGGAGGCTTCCCAAAAATGTTAGATGAATGTGGATGAAGTTATTGAAACCGAGAACTTCAAGCTATGCTATTTCTCAGTGATGTTGAGCAACCAAAACTCCCGGCAATTCGATAACGGGGCAAAAGAGATCATCTAATAGCCGGAGTTGTGGCTCCTATCAACACGAGCGGAAACGAAGTGAACACAAGTTTCAGCTGGGAGCTGTGTTCCGCTTGGCAGGCAGTTTTATTTTGAAAGGCACAGAAGATTATACCATGCCGTATCACGATTAATGCTCAGTATGAAGAAAGCTATAACGCTTGCATTACCAGAGAAAATGATGTGTGTATGAGTGTAAATAAAACCTCAGTCTTTCAACAACAACCAATAGGATCCTCCGTGGCGCAATTGGCTAGCGCGTCTGACTGTTATCGAGACTCAAGTCTGGTGCTATCAGGAGGTTGACAGTTCAAGCCTGTCCGGGGGAGCTTATCTTTTTGCGTTTTCGCGGACTGACCGCTGTCGTTTTGTTTGTGGAAAGGCCTACCTACAATTGGCCCCCACTCGCACCGTAACACAACAAGTTGGACGACTGTCACTCATTGATGCAAGCTGTTGGAGGTGCTTTTTTGCTATTGCTAAGTGCGATCTAAGCCCTGACTAGCTCTGGCGGTCCTACAGTAGGATACTTCACTATACTGTCAATAATGTGAGTCCTCGCGAGCTTGTGCCTCTTTCGCACCGTCGGCACTACGCACAATGAAGCAAAGGTAGTACTGCATGTGATCTTCCGCCCGTTTCATAGGTCAGATTAGATCGCTGCCGCTCTTCGTGCCCTCCTTACCTAGGAGCAATACCAATACCCGCTACTCTTTTGTGCATTCTCACGTGATAATTAAGAGTGCAGTGGTTCCCACCACACCGGAATGAGTGATTGATGATAACCTGGCCTATTCTCAACCAATGACAAGGCATTGTGGCAGAGTGGTCTAATGCGATAGACTAGAAATCTATTTCCTTCGGGTAAGCTCAATTCTCAAGGCCCACCGTTTCAGCACCCCGTACTAACAATCTATGCAGGAGCGTCTGTTCGAATCAGGCCAATGTCGCTATCTACGAATAGCAGGTGTCTTGAGACATCTCATCTTTTTTTTGATACTGAAAGCTTAAAACTCTGGTGTTGGCGAAAGTCTCAAATTTCTTTTTGTATTATTTTTGTCCCGACCATACACTCCTAGTCGGCCTGTATAGCATAAACTGATTACCACTTGGATTTTCATCTCCATCTTTTCAAGTCTGATAACACGCTCGAAGAAGTGTTTGTTATTATGTGAACTGCGATAATTTGCACCCAGATACGAAGGAGAAAATTACATAAATCCAATCTGGCCTTGTAGAGGCGTTAGAACGACAGATTGCCCAGTTTAACTCCACGTATCCGATGCGGCCGGTGGCTGCAGCAGTCCCCATCTGAGGCTCTGTTGGCTGCAGAAGTGGCTGCTGACTTGGCTGCCCTTTCGGACACCTTCCGGGCACCCATGTCGTCTTGTCGATGATGCCGCCGCAATTCAAATGTCATAAGATATGTGTCTTGTGCTGCTGAATACCGACGGTGCTAACCCCTAACCTAACCTAGGTCACCGGGACAAGTATCTTGTTGACGGTTACTGTTGAGCACAACGAGTCTATCCACTTCTCGGAGAGGCCCGACTGCTCGCGTTCTTACAGCCTCAGGCGCGGGGTAAGTTGTGTGTTGGGGTGCCGGAGCTGATGATGGGGGGAGAAGCTTATCTGCATGCGCCGTGCGTGTGTTTCCCCACTAGCCATGACGCTGAGCTGCCACTTGAGGTATTCCTGATGGGGGCTTTCTTTTCCTCAGCCGTTCTCATTTACGGGACCTTAGCTCGCTGGTGCCTACGTGGGCAGACACGCGCCTCCCAATAATATTCGTCACTCGTATCGTGGTTCACAATCTTGCCATCACAACTTACCTCGATCACTACCCTCTCCACCACCACCACCACCATGGCCTGCCCCGACTGTTTCCGTGGCGGCGTCACGACCGAGCACCCCAAGGGCGCCGAGACCAAGATCCACGGGCTTGACACATACGTGGCCGAGCCGCCATCGGGCACTACGCCCAAGGGCATCATCGTGTACATTACCGACGCCTTTGGGTGGCGGTTCCCCAACAACCGCGTGCTGGCCGACCACTATGCCCAGCGCGGCGGCTACCTCGTCTACGTGCCCGACTTTATGGACGGCAACGCCGTGCCCGCGCGCGGCATGCAGCTCATGGACTCCATTACGGCAACCTCGAAGACCTGGGCCGACACGCTGCTGTGGAAGCCCTGGTACCTCATGCAAGCCATCCCCACGATGCTCAGCTTCATGTACACCTGCTACCCACCCAAGCGCAAGCCCTTCGTGTTTAACTTCCTCGCGGCCCTGCGCACGTCACCGCCGCCGTTCGAGACGGGCGCTGACAACAGCAACAAGGCGCTGCGCATCGGCGTCGCGGGCTTCTGCTGGGGCGGCAAGCACTGCTTCTACCTTGCGGCCGACGACCCGGCGAGCCGCGTGGTCCGGCACGGCGCGGGGGCCGGGGAGGAGAAGCAGCCGCTCATCGACTGCGCCTTTACCGCGCACCCGTCCTTTGTCGACGTGCCGGGCGACGTCGACGCCGTGCGGCTCCCGCTGAGCGTGGCCATTGGGGACACGGACATGGCCATGAAGGCCCCGCTGATCCAGCAGATGAAGATAATGCTCGACGGCAAGCCCGGTGCCAACGACGACGGGCGGTACGAGGTCGCCATCATCCCCGGCGCCAAGCACGGGTTCGCCGTGCGCTCGCACCCGGACGACGAACACGAGATGGCGTGCGCGCGCAGGGCCGAGGACCAAGCCATCGCGTGGTTCGACAAGTGGCTCGCGAGGGACTAGCACTGGACGCCGATGCGGATGGAGTTGCAGTGCTGAATTTTTATGAAAATGATGGGTGGGTCTGTCGTCGGTGTTGATGGAACAAGGTCATGCTGGGCGTCGAGGAACCAGTTTGTAAGGCAAGCGCTCGCTCTGGCAGTTTGATCTCTGATCTGGGGCCAGCGGGCCGCGAAAGAAATCGTGAGAGAGAGCACATGACGTCAGTGACTGCCGAGAATGAATGGTGTGGCCGTGCGAGAGCAGTAACAAGGAGGAGCAGGCAGCCCGAGGGAAAATTGAAAACAGAGCCAATCCGCGCCTAATCCCATCTTGTATCATCATGCACGGGGCGTAATTCGTCAGCAGCAACCAGTCGTGGGCTCTGTGCAGTCTTGCCTGCCTCACGGAGTCCGTACCTTGCTTCAGGGGCACGCGCCGTTGACGGCCAGGGGTCAGGGATGGGATGGGGTTTGACCGAAATCGTATGTGTAGCCGCGACATGCAGCGACACGGGATGCGAAATCGACACCACATGGTCCTCAAGAGTTGTGGCAGCGTCGGTCAGCCACGTCGTGTGCCCATCTGATGTCGGATTATCAAGGCTTGGTCAGCCGCCCTCGGCGACCGTGCCTGATTGACAGGCACAATTACTCTGTATAGTTATCCATAACTCGAGCCAGCCAAGCCGGCTTTTAGCAGACTCCGCATTGCTCCGTGCCACGATGCCGGGCTCTGGGGTCTGACAAGCCACTGTCGTGCACGCCGAAGGAAGGTAGGACGGAAGCCACGCTGACGCGGCCTCTGGAGGCTTCTGGCTGGGCGCGAGAGGGCGACCCAGGAAAATTACCAGGGTTGGACAGCGACCCAAAGCAACGGTTGACTCGAGACTGTTATTATGGGCAAGGGCAGGCTGTCTGGGCAGTGTCTGCACAATTTCGCAGCTTGGCTGAAACGTGGGGACCGACTGACAAAGCTGACTGACTGGCAAGATTCAATTTTATTTCTGGCTTCTCTGCCCTCTGTTTGGTGGAGCACAAGCTTCGGCTGGGTAGGGGGCCGAGAGGCCCAGGCACAGCCACCACCATGCGGAAGAGAGCTACGTGGCTAGGGATAGCTAGTCTCGCTTTGGGGCGCTGGGGGCTCTCGGATCACCAGGAGCCGGGGGGCAAAGAGGCGGCACTTGGTGTCTTAGTCAGTGCTCTCCGCAGCCGACTGCGAGGAAGAAGAAAGTTTGGCAAGCTAGGCATGTCCATGTCCCCCGCCAAGCGTCCGCATGCGCATCGCTTCCCTAATGGGGCAATGAAACAGCCCGGTCTCGACTGCGATGAGGCTCGAAACCTTGGGGGCTGCTGGGCGTGTCGTCCTGTGTTGAGTCTGTGACGAGTCGAGACTTGGCTCCGGACTTTGATGCCGTGCGCTGTTCGATGGCACACGAGCTTGTCTTTGTGTATCGGGCAGCAGGCACTGGACTTTCTTATAAGTATCCTGGGCCCGGAGGTGTTTACATCATAACTTGCTCAAAACATCTCCAGACAAAGACACTCACTCACCCACATACCCTCGCCAACCAATAACATCCACAATCATGCTCTCCAACTCGATCAACGCCCTGCTACTGGCTACCGCCACTCTGGCTGCAGCCAAGACCATTACAGTCCAGGTCGGCTCCTCCGGGCTCAACTACTCGCCCGAGTCGGCCACTGCCGCCGTCGGTGACACCATCGACTTTGTCTTCAAGGGCCGCTCGCACGACGTCGTCCAGGGCGCCTTTGACAAGCCATGCCAGGCCGTCACCCAGGGCGGCTTCAACTCGGGCTTCTTTGCTGACGCCACTTCGAGCGCTGTAAGTCATCCATCTACCTACCTGCCAAACTCCACCCCTGCAACCCGATTGCTAACTTCGCCTTGTTGGAATAACCACAGGCCAAGACGTTCCGCGTTACCGTCAACAGCACCGACCCCATCTGGTACTACTGCTCTGCACCCGGCCACTGCCAGGGCGGCATGGTCGGCGTCATCAACCCCCCCGCGGTGGGCAACACGCTCGCCTCCTACAAGTCGGGGGCCGCGGGCGCGAGCAACTCAGTCACCCCGCCCAACGTCTTTGGCGGCACCGTCGTCAACGGCGCCGGCGGCGGCACCGGCGGCGCTTCCAGCTCGGCTGGCTCCCCGGCGCCCACGGGATCATCCACGGGATCACCTGCGGGTTCGCCCTCGGGCACGACCGCTGCGGGCGGCAGCTCGACGACAACGCCTAACGCAGCTGCCAGCTACGGACAGAGGGCCGGCCAGATTGGTGCGCTTGTGGCCGGTCTTGGTGCTGCGTTCCTGATGCTCTGAGCTTGACGGGGTTTCCTAGGTCTCTTGCGATGCCGTCACATCACATGTCTTGTAGTTGCTGTCCAAATAATGTAATAATGCAATAAACCTGCATCCAGCGCCGTATCTTGCAGACTCCAATGTGATCAACATGTCCGTTTGCGCGCCATCAAGTGAACGAGACGAATCTTGTGTAGCAGACTTCGGGTGGTGACGCAGCTGACTGTCCTGAGCGTAGCTGGGGCTATTGTACTCCGTGCTTAACCCCTACCGCAGCCCCTGACAGCATCCCCGGGGAAACCCTCGGTGCTGGGCTTCCTCATCATGCTTCCCCGCACTGCATCTCGACGCCTCGGCTACTGTCTGTCTGATGGTCACTTTGAATCTGCTGCTGCCCATGCATTCTAGCTCCAACCCTTTCCACACGCTGTGAACCCGCCCACCGCATCGGAGAAAAACAAAAACAAAAAACAATAACCTTGCGACCCCTGAGCGACACCCGTACCATGGCGACGACAACACCGGCCCGCCCGACGGTCGAGTTCTACTACGACATCGTGTGCCCCTTTGCCTACATTGCCTCGCAGCGCATTGCCGCTGTCGCCGCGCACGCGGGGGCCACGCTGCTGTGGCGGCCAGTGCTGCTGGGCGGCATCTACCGCGCGACGCAGGCGCAGCAGGGCGCCCACGGCTCGGCCAGCGACGTCGCCAACCCGGCCAAGCGGGCGTACGGCTCGCGCAGCCTCGCCCGGGCCTGCCGCCGCCTGGGCGTGCCCATCGCCTGGCCCGACAAGGACAACCACCCCGTCCGCAGCGTCCAGGCCCAGCGCCTGCTGTGCGCCCTGCCTGACGACCCCGACGTCCGCGC